TGGGTCCTGGAGGGCCCTGAGGTGGAATTGGTGAGGGTGGGGGGCCCTGAGGTGGGAGAAGTGAGAGTGGGGGGCTCTGGAGGACCCTGAAAGGTGAGGGCGGTGGGCCCTGGAGAGGCTCAGGGTGCTGGTGGCCCCCCAGGCTGGCCTGGAGCATGGGCCCAGGTGACATGGAGGCAAGGGGGCTGGTGGTGGCTGAGGGGGCAACCAGTGTGGTGGGGCTGCTGTGCTTGGAGTCACCATCCTGTCACAGGCCCAGGAACGGAGGAGAGCTCTAGGCCTGCTGCTGTTCTCTGAAAGTTTTGTCTGCTTTTTAAAGAGTCTAAACAAAAGCAATGTTTCCTTCTTAGTTTGTAGTTCAGCTTTTCCATGTGAACTTTTCCTAAGGGAGGGGAGGAAGTATCTCCTGTCTGACTGGCTACTGTAGGAAATCTTGAGACCGCTAGATCTTTTTCTCAGCCTCTCCAGTGACAAAAGCCTAAGTGCCTTCATGTGAAGTATTAGACAAAGTCATAGGCTTCAGCTTGGCATATTAAAATCAATAGCCTGTTTGTGATCCCCAGGGGCTGGAGAAGGGTGTGCGGAGGGGTAGGCCGAAGGCTTGTCTCTGCTCAGCACAGAGTAAGAAATCTGATTTTTAACCTGGCCCTCAGATGACATCCTGAGCTAAATGCACTGTTGGTCTTTTCTGTCCCAGCCATCGCGGTAGCTCTAGGAGCTACCACCTTTGTGCCATCTTTGTCATTGGTGCCCAGCTCTTTCCTCAGAGGCAGCTTTATTGCTGGCTGCAGCCACTGGGTGTTGGGTCTGTTCTGGCACTGCTCTGACAAGGCTGGTTTGGCTCAGTAGCAGATGGACACGAGAAGAACACATATTTGAGCCTCAAAGTGGAATGTTAAAACAACTGAAAGAAGCCTCTTCATGTCATCTTCCCTCTGAAGGTGTTTTTTGGAGCAGGAGCAGCATGGGGATGCTCCACTTCTGAAGTTCTAAAACTCTGAAATATTTAGGCTATTGAAGGATTTACGTTCTTGCTTGGACATTAGCTCTTCCTGCAGTTTAAACTGTGGCTTTGCAAGGTTTTTCAGGAACTTCAATGCAGTCTGCATTTTGGTTTTGGTGATTTTATTGCTGAGCTTTCTTCCACTTGTTAGTAGGCAGACAGGTCATCTATGCAGAGAGGTTGGGTTTTGGATTTCTTAGTGTATGAATGGCCCCCAGGTAGGTTTTTCTGCATCCATGTTTTAACAGAAACTCTGTGTCAGGGAGGTGCAGGTGGAATTCAGCTCTGTGTTTGCGCTACTGCTGATTGTGTCTCTGACTTTTCAGTCATATAAACTATTTATAATAGCTTGGGAACTGATCTTTTTCTTGTCTGCCTCTTCTTCCCCCTAAAGGCCTTTGGTACAGACGGCCTTAATATACCTACCAGGAGATATTCTAATGGCAGAAGAGGGGTTGATGTGACGTGATGTAGGGTGCAATTGTATAGTCTCTTCTGGAAAACTGCAAATTGTTTTTGTTTAAAACCTTATGTACAAACTACTTGGCTTGGGCGCTTCTGTAGGAGGTGTAAGCTGTATTGACTGAGGTGCTGTGTGAGTCTTGAGCTTGATGGAAAAGTCTGTGAAGTACACGTACAGCCTGAGGCTTGCTGAAGCCAGCAGCAAACTGTGCTGCAAGAGGGGTCTCTGTGCTGAATTGAACCATGCTGTGTAAGAAAGGAACGAGCTGGTAGAGGCATCTCTGTCTTAGAGATCAGAAAGCATAAGAGAATGTAAGAGTGCAAAGTGTGGCTCCCCGTGCCTTTGAGGGAAGCACAAGCAATTGTGTGTTAGGTTATAGCGCTTTGGAACTCTAGCTTAATAGAAAGAGAAATGAAAGGGAGGTGGGTCTGCTCTGAGTTCAAGGTTAGAATGTAAAGGTAATATTAATATGATCCTTCAAACAACTGAAAACTAAAATAAAGCTTCAGTTTAGTAATGATACAGCATGTAGGTACAACAGTAAGGCAGTTGTTGTGAGAGAACAGAAATAAAACTACTGTGACTGAAACGGATGCTGAATTAGCTATGTTGAAGAAAGGGGACTGGCTGCTCTCCATCCTGGAATATGGAAGAACTTGCCATGTAATGCTGAATGTCTGATAACAGGGATTTTTATTGAATCTGTTAAGTCAGGGCTAGTAACAAAATACAGAGAACAGGCTGAGCATACAAACACGCACTGGGTAAGGACTGAATTAACTGACTCATTAGAAACTGGATAATGTCTTTTCATGTGCTTTGCTCCATGGCAGGTAGTGTAAGACTAGCCTTTTTAATAAACCAGCTCTCTCTAGAGAGAAAAGTTTCATTGCCTAATCTCTTCTGTAAAGGATTTATTAGGGAGTCATATGGAAAATTAATTATTGTGTCGAAGGGATGGAGGTTTACGCAAATGTTGTGAGATGGGTAACAAACTGGTGAAGGGGGGGTGTTTGTACTGCATTGAAAACTGGGGTGGAGGCAGGAGTCACGGGACACACATTACTTCTCATCCACGACCTTGGCATAAAAAGTAAGAGTATGCACATGACAGATACTTGTGATGAAACCAGGCTGGGAGACGTGAGCAATAATATAAAGGAGGAGGTGGAGGGTGATAAACATATTACATCAAATGAGCTCTAAAACTTTGTATATAAGTTTTTATAACAGTAGATTCAGAGAGCAAGCATATGTTTCTGCAAAGTAATAGTCAGAATTTCTGTTGTGAACTGGAGCTCATCAGATTGGAAAGAAAAACTAGCAGGTGAGAGGGTTACCGTAGGGGCATGGCTGGAAGACAAGTAGCTTTAAGAGATGCTTCTAAAACAGTTGGGAAGTATTGGTGCCATTATGTGCAGTGTTTTGCAATGCTTTGCACAATGAAAAAGTGGAACAAAGAAATATGTTTGTATTTGTGTTTGTTTTTTCTAAACAACTTCCCCCCCCCCAAAAAAAAAAACCACACAAAAAACAACCAAAAACAACCAAACCAAAAAAAAAAAAAACCCCAAACAAACAAAAAGGCATCGCCAAGGAGGCGTTTCAGGCAGGCCTAAGAGATGCTCAAAGGAGATGTGTGAAGGTGATGTGACATGGTTTAATAATTTTAAGCAATGGGAACACATCCAGTGAATAAGCTCCAGAGTTGAGGAGAAGGAATTATTGAATCTGAAGGATTTGGCCTTTCAAGCCTCTGAGCAACTTTGCACCACGTGCAGTATGAATAAGAAACCTGTCTGGGCTGAAGGCAAAGCTTGATGAATGTAGGAAAGAAATTACTTGATGCCATTACCTGTTGTTTCAAGGTGTGTGAGGATCCAGGAGGTTCCTTCCAGTTCTGTGGTTTCTCTGCTATATGGCAAAATATTTGAATTAAAGTATTTTTTCTTTCGTCTGTCTGGCCTGCAGAATACAGAATTTTTATAAATTGCTTTCTCTGTCAAGACTTTGTGTGACCATGTAAACAAGATAAAATGTCTGGAGTCTAATGCTGCCAATATGAAAGTCTTTGGGCTTCCAGATGATGGCTTTCTCATTGAAGTATTGAATCTGATACTGTTGAATCCTATATAAACCCTTGTCTTGACAGGGAAAGATGAAATTAATCATTAAACTAATTTCTTGGCTCAATTTAAATCTTACTTTACCCAAACAGAATCAAGTCCAGAGCAGTGATTTTATTATTTTGAAGTTGTGATAAAGCTGTAAATAATTGAATCAAGTCAGTTCAGCTGTGAAACTTCACTTCTTTTACTTAGTTGAAATCTGTCTGAGGCTTGTCCTGAGTGCTGCTGCGTTTTGGAAATGAGCAAATCCCTGGTATGCTAAGTGTAGTTCCTCGGAGTGTTCTGATAGCAGTTGCTGCCTTCTTTCTCTGTGGTTCTGCTAGACTTTTCTCATTTGCTGCCTCCTTTCTCCTGCTTTGTCCTTGCAGTATCTCCTTCCCTTCGCTGGTAGGATGCAGCCATCCCTTGCTGCTGCATTCTGTGTCACTTGTCTCTACCTGTCTTCCATAGGCTCCTGATAGCACCAGATGAGTGATGCTTTTCGCCTGGGTCCACGCTCTTCTAGTTGGCTTAACCAAAATTAGGTGGAACATGCTGCATTCTCCAGCAGAGCACATTGGGGAGTAAAAACAAGTCCTCAAACAGACCTTGGCATTTTCACTCTGCCTTCCCTCATCAGCAAAGCTTTTCCTTACCTCCCTTCCAGCAGACCTCAGTCTAGAGACCCAACACTGCTTCACCAGAGAAAAGGGACATTCTTGTGGTGCCTGTCTGTCTAACAGCATCCTGTGCAATGAGGTTTCTGTATCTACAGCCTCCTCCTGGCAGGTGGGTATCAAGGGTCGCTGGCACAACCTAGATGCGTATTATTTGCCACCTTCTCTGTGAATGCTGTGGATGGTCTTTGGTTGAGGACAGTGGGTTTTGTCCATGCGTTGTAAGCAATCTGCTGTCAGCCTGCATTTCTCTGATGGCACGTGGTTAGGGATGCTGTATGGTCTGAATTTTCACTTAGTCCAGTTGGTCCGAAGGAGTCATAAATGAGGTAGGGACAGGGTCTGACAGCTTGAGTACTGGGAGGTGAGAGCTCCTGATTTGTCTACACTGGCTTTGTGGGACTTAGGCCTCTGCCTGTTTGTGCTGACCCAGCTTTAAAACCGGTCTGAGACTTCTGGCAGCTGCTTGGTTCATGTTCAGATTCTGAGATGCTGGTGGCTTGTGTTGGTAGCTTTTCTTGTTTCTGCTTTTTAAAGAGAAGACCTCAGTATGTAAAACTCCCCTACACTAATAACCAAAGACCCTCAATTCAGCTGGTCTATTGCTGCAGCCGGGAAAGAGAAGCATTGATCTCTCTTGTCCAAAAGCTTAAGCTGAGATCTGTTCCTGATGCTGAAAACACTTTCTCTTTTCTCCGTAGGTTCAGTACTGTGGCTTGCTGTTTCGCCATGAGGGCTGGCCCCTGTGTATTCATGAGAAGATTGTAGTCCAGCTGGCTTCCATTGACTGGCGAATCTTGAAGCCTGGTGACTTCTACCTGCAGGTGGTCCCCTATCTGAAGAAGTCTCCACGAATCGTATTGAAATGTTTGGCAAAAGACAAGCATAATGTAGAAGAAGTCGTGATTCCAGAAGTTTCCTATACCTCTGTTTTCACTCTGGAATGGTTGAGTACTTTCAATGGAGAGCGGATGGGTATAGCACTGGAAAATTGTTTACTAACCACTGATGATCAAGTATTTCGTGTCCCCTGGGATAAAGTGGTTAATCCTGAATTTATAAATAAACCAAAGATAATTGAAAACAGTATCATCTCTCCAGAAGTAACAGAGGAACGTTCAGTTTTGTGCCTCCCCATGGACCATGCTGAGTGCAGTTCACCAGACCTAGGATCTCGGTATCTACAGGAACAAAGTCCAAATCAAGACAACCTGGTCGTCAGCAGCACAGCTCCTCAGTTAAGTGAAGCTCTTGTCAATGGTGTCTGTACAAGTCCTGTGCCTCAAGAGGACTTGAAAAGTGACCTTGAAGGAGAGTACGTTGAGCTGGCAGAAGTTTCACTGCCCAGGTTTGGGCCCCAAACAGGCTCTTTAACCCAGTCGCTAGCTTTACATTATCTAACTCAGCCCAGAACGCGAGTGAATGCGTCTAAAGGCAAGCACAGGTTTATTGTCATTCAAGACAGCACCTACTCCAAGAACTTAATACAGTCAGCACTTATGCAGAAGGAGCACTGTCAAATGGACACTCTGAGGACTTCCTCTACGGAAGTTCTCAAAAATGTAATTCTGTTGGAAAGCAACAAAATGACAGCACATGGAGAAGTGTGTGCAGAAGGTCAGCTGCTATCGGGTGGCCCTGGAGACATGGGGAATAGCTTTCCTGTGGCTGAGTCTCCTGCCTGCAGTGCAGAAGATTCATCTGCAGAGCAGGAGACCCCCAGCGAACACTCAATCAATTGGCGATATGCGCTGTGCAGCTACAGCGACGTGTGTGCTGGAGATGGTGTCAACTGCAAAGCACAAATGCCTGGTGCTCCTGAAAACACGGAAGGAGAAAGTGATGGTCCTAGTGGAAATCCTGGTGTTGAAACATCGGAACAGAGCCCAGGAACAATTCTAGATGCTAGTGCTGCTAAAGAGGAGGTGATACTGGCAGTTCATGGAGAACCACTGACCGAGGGTCAAAATGAGGTGACACAGATGGATGCCTTTCCTGCATCTGTCCTAGGGCCTTCGGGGCCACATTGCACACTGAAGGAAGGTTCTGATATTTCTTGTGAGAGTGTTGATGAAAGTGCAGCACCAGTCCAGGCCACTATGTTGCTTATCACACCTGAGAGTTCAGATGTGGGTGTGGAGAGAGGCTCTCCTGCAGGGAACACAGCAGGTGTAGGAGCAGTTGGTGCTTGCTGCAGTGATCAGGAAGCAAATCTTAGTTCTCCATTAAATCCTCCAGAACAAAACCAAGGAGAAGTAGATGAGTTTGAGCTGGAAAGAAGGGACAGCCCAGAGGAAGTCAAAGACATTGAACAAATATTGACTGTAAATGAGAATCAGATTAGTCATAGTCACTGTTCTCTCAAAGCTCCTACAGATGGACTTTTGTCAGATGGTGAAGAGCAAGAAGTCTCTGCCTGTCAGCATAAGAAAGCTGAAGAGGCTATACTACTCCAAAGTGGTCTGTCAACAGAGGGTGATCAGGCAGCAGAAGAGTTAAGTGACAGTGAGCCTTTGGGCCCTGATGCACAATCAGAAGGCTCAAGTCAATTCAGAACCCAGAGCTCTGGACAGGGGTGTGAGGAACCAGAAAGACAGGCAGAAAACCAGGGCCATGAAAGTGAAGAGAACTCCGTGCTGAACCTAGAGCGTGCTGCAGTACAGGACTTGATGGGAGGGGAGGAGAACCAGGGAAGCTTTTCTCATGGGGAAAAGTCAAAGAGTCTAGCCTTGAAAACACTGGAATCCATTGAAGAGGAACTGGAGGTTGGACCACTGACCTCAGAGGGGCATACAGAGCCCACCACTCCACACTCCACCCAAGCAGCAGCTTCTAGGGCTACATCTCCTAAAGGTACAGCAATTGGATGTTTGTGTTTGTCTGTTTGGTAAAATGGATTGAAAGCAAAGTCCTCGAGAGGTACTGCTGACAAGTATGTCTGCTGGGAGGTTTTGGGGTAATAGCACAAACTACAGGAAAGTGATTTGTCATTTTTGTGGCTTGAAGTTAGTTTTCTCTGCACAGGTGGGTTTATTGTAGGTATTGCGTTTACCGGTTCTTTGCAAATTTACATCAGTACTGAACGAAGTTTCAATGTAAGAGACTTTTAATTTCAGTTAATGTGATTGCTGGTGACCTCTATCCGGTGTGCACATTATGGATGCACGCAATAGGAATGCATGAGAAGTGAATGTCTAACTGTACAAGTCTCTCATAGTTGAAAATTGGCTTTAGAAAGATAGTTGTGGCAAGAGGAAGCAGCACTGGCTGCCACAATAAAATACTGGCTGTGTAACATGACCTGAAGATGAACCAGTGTGTGTGCTGGTAACTGATTTAAGAAGCAAACTGCAGTGTTGAGGGATTCCCCCCCTCTTCCCTCCCTTTGTCTCCCACATGCTCTTTTCAGCTTAGTTATGTTTCAAGTAGGAGCAGTTTACCTTGAGTGGGAGAGCACAGAGGAACTGAGCATCTAATTTCAGCTCAAACGATTTGTTGAAGCAGGAATTGCCTAGACTTGGTGGTGCCAGGGTTTCTGTGCTGGAGCTGCTCTCCTTCAGAAGGGACTGCCCAGGCCAGGGCTCTCTGCCTCTTGCACCCAGCTGTAGGCAGGCAGTGTGTAACCACATGGACACTTTGCCTAGCTCTGCTGAGTCTGGAAAGCTGTAGCTAGATATGCAGATCACATCAAGAAGCGTGTGTGTGGCGGGGGCGGGTGAAACATGCCATTCCAGTTCAACAGCTCTCATTCCCTGAGACCCCTGGCTAGGAAAATTGCCTGGTTTGAAATTTTAGAGTGAGGACTTGAAAGGGTTGGAGGTACAGACCCACGTTGCTAGAGCATGTCTGACCATGTGGGGGAACAGATCGAGAGCTGGTCATCTTGGGACGGGCTGCCAGTGTGATGCTGGCACTGGTCCTAAATTGTGTGGGTAAGAGCCTCTAGCACTGCTGCAGCACTGCTCCATTTGGCTGCAAACACAGCTGCTTTCTCAAGTGTCGAAAAAAGAGGTCATCTTCTGCCTGTCCATAGCTCTTGGGGATATATGCCTGTAAATAATCATGTGGTGGGTATGCGTGCCCCTGACCAAGCTGAACCTGGCTCAACTTCATGTTTGCACAGGACTGGACCTCAGAAAACCTAGGCTGCATTGGGTGCTGGGTGTGTACTTTCCTCATGACTCCAGTGGCTGTTTGTTTGGTGTTCCCATCTCTTCTGTCTAAAATTAGCCAGGTCCAGTTTGTGTATGAGATAATAAGTGTGATGTTCTCGCTGCTCCACAGGACTAGTCTTGGCTGCTGTTGTGGATTTCAGCAGTGATGGACCCCGGGGTATACCTGGAGTTTGTTTTTAATGAAAGACGATTTAAGTTTTTCTGGGGGTCTGGCTGAAAATAAGTGATATATTTATGGCCCGGTTATGATGTTAAACTTTGGCATTGCAGTTAAAAACAAACAAACAAACAAAACAAATTAACCAAACAAAAAAAACCTCAAAAAACCAAACACTGTTATCTCAGAGTTTGTAAAACATAAGAAACAACCTAAATCACCCGAACCCTCCCAAACCAAGGAACTAAACTCTTGAAGGCATAGGGCAGCTCAAAGATCTGTTAATGCCCGGAGTGTTTCTTAAACACTATAGCTGGAACTATAATAAGCTGAATCCATTCAATTACACTTGATTGCTTTGAGATCCAAACAAGCCATCCCCTTATCTAGCCCCATTAAACCCTCAGAGATACAATAATAAGATAATTCAGAGATAAAATTACAAAGCAAAGCAAACATCCTATGCTCAGTCTTTCAAATGGACTTTCCCAGCCAGTCTGTAGGCGAGTTAAACCCTCTGTAATTGTGTCTCCCTGGGGTCACTTTGCTACTGTGGTTGGAAACTGGGGGTATTTTGCCTAAACTATAAATAACAATAAAGCTTAAGCTTTACTGGGCCAATTAGGATCTGCAGTTCACACCTCAGTAGCAGCGGGCAGATGCAGGATTTGCTCTGTGTGAGGTGGAGGAGCTTGTTACAGCAGATGTTGTAGATTATGTCAAAAGACACCTTTGGAACTGGGGCATCCTAGTTTGCCATCTCCAGATTTTTCCTCATCCCTTAACTGTCTCCCCTTCCTCCCAGTCACAAGCTGAGCTTATTTTCTGCAAAAATATGATCTAACTTAGAAAGATTTTGAGTCAAATGTGACCTGTTTTGAGCTGGTGGCTTAAAACTCACACTGGTTCCATTCACATGTGCCTGCTGTTTTTCCCTAATGACTAACTTTAAGCGAAAGTGAATTTTGAAACTTTGCAGCTCTGGAAAGAATTCTTATATTTTGAGGGTGGAAAATATCTTGATATTCAAGAAATTGGCTGAAAAACCACACTGGGGCATATTCAGCAGCACCTGTTAGGGCGTTCCGTTCCAGCTCCCTGTTGCAATGTGATGTTAGCATAGATGATACTGGTGCTGGGGCAGTTTGCAGGAAAAATGCTAATATCTCTTTGAAATGCACACAAGTAAATCCTCTCCTACCACTTCCTTGTCCTCGGGGAAAGGTGGAACCTTCAAACACGCAAATTCAGATGTCCCAGTTCTCAATTTGCTTTTTGATGTAATCCTCCGCATTCTGCAATTTCCGCTTCAGTAAGTGCCTCCACCCCAGACTGCAAATAACAAACAGTGTGCTTGGGCCTGTTTGGAGAGAGGTGGGGTCTGCAGTTCTGAACGGAGCCCGAGAAGCTTAGTGAAGAGGTTTGTTTCAGCAAGATATGCATAGTCTGGAGGCTGTGCAGCTCCAAGCAGGTTTCCTTGGGGCCCAAAGGCTCCAGCACCAGTAGTGTCTGGTGGGCTGAGCAAAATGCTTCTCACTTCTAGCTTTTGGGAGCTGCTGCTTCATTCCTGAGAGATATCCAAGGCAGGGCTGCCATGTACATTTATGTCTTCCTCTTGCCCTAGTGTGGCACAATATAGGTGTGTTCCCTTTCTTGTCGTCTTAAATCCTGCCTTTTTGTCCTCTTTGCAGGCTTTCTTCATTTAATGCAGATTCCTTTACTAAAAACTGTGTGGTTCTGCTTATTGCCAGGCCTTGCAGCTCCTTGAGAAGATCTCCTAAAAAGTCTGTCACTCTTTAGTGTGAAACCGTTGGGGCCTGACTTATATGGCTTGGTGATCTCCAACAAACCCCATCTGTGGGAGATCTGTGCCTCTCTGCAGTGCTGCTGCAGGAAGAGACAGCAGCGTTGTCCAAAGCGAATGACCTCCTGCATCGCTAGGAAGGGGAGGCCGAGGTAGTCCTAGGAACAGAGCTGAGCTCTGATGTGTCCCAGGACTGTGCATAGCCCTGCAGCCATCGCAACAGCTTACATGGTCAGAAGCAGCAGATGCCAGGCTGAGTCCCAGGGATGGTCCCTCGAGAGGGGTGTTACCAAAGAGTAATGAGCAATTTCTGTGTCATGGTGCAGAACCCTGGAGCCCCTCCGAGTTTCCCCACGCTGTCGAATAATTTTGTGCAGTGAGCCATGCTGCTCAGGGCACTTCTCTCACCCACTTTAGCAATTTTGAAAGTAGTTTGGGCTGAGCCTCAACCTGTAAATCTCCTTCACTGCTAAAACTTGTATTGAAAGCCACTTCAAGGACTGCTTTGTTCCTGGTCCTACTCTTTAATGAAGTATTGGAATCTGTTAGTAAATAAACTGAGTCAAGTGTCAGCATTGTTGATGCAGCAGGAAGGTAGGATGGTTGAAGTCAATTTTAAATAGCAATTAAAACGTCTGACTTCATAGCAAGCAAATAAATACTCTGCTCTCTTATTTGGCTAAAGAGAGGTTGATTTTTTTTTTGTTGGTAGATATTGAAATATCAGGATTTGCAGCAAAGTATAGCCTTTTCTCTGGTATATCTTTCTGCCTAAGAGTGGGATAGCCTAGCTGTGTACTTCGGATGCTAAAGATGGATTGTTGGCTTCTAATTCTTGTAATGTTGGGAAATGGGGACTAATACTTCTAACACAGTAGGTAGATTGTTTTTTTTCCCCCTTCTCTCCAGGTACTTTTACATGTAAATGGAAACTCGATAAAACTAGCATTAGTTTCCATGTAGTAGCTAAGTTACTTAATTTTAGAATTAATTGCTTCTGATAACTTGTACCTTAGAGCTGAAGTGCCAGGCAAAGGAAGCATTTCCTCCAGTTCTCAGGCAGAGCTGATTGGTATAATCAGCCTGTTCTTCAGGGTTTTAAAATAGGTTTCTGACTTTCACATTAACTGTTAATTAAAAAAATCTGGTCGAGCAGAACGCGGTCTCTGGCTAATTTCCATCTGATTTGTCAGCCTTGAGTTGACTTCATATTTTCAGGACCTAACCTGAGAGTGCTGTTGGGGGAGTAATTCTGCTCTGATGGAGCAGCTTTCCCTGTCAGAAGCTGGTTTATCACTTCAGCATGCTCAAGCTGTTGGAGGTTAGCCAGGGACTTCCACCACGCCAGACTTGCAGGCTGGGAGCAGACATGTACTGCTTGATATGTTACCTTTAAAAATTACCCTGACTACAGTAATCCTGATCTGAATTGAGTTTTTGTAACTTGCAAACTTCACAATAAATTGGTTTATTGTTTTAGAGTTGCAGTAGTATTCATGTTTTAACCACTTTTGGAACACGCATGTTACTGGTGCAAGTGGAGGAGCTGCAGAGTGCCGGGCCTGGGGGCACGTTCCTCCCCAGTCTGGTACCTACCTGCAACCTTTTGGGTGGAGCTCTGCTCGAGCTTCTGACTGCTGCTTGTCTTTCAGGGATGGTGGCAGAAGGGGCAGAGATGAGAAAAGAAGCAGCTGGCACAGATGTGTTGAAACCAGTGAGTAAAGACAGCACCCTGGAGGAAAACTCACCAGCTGTTACTCCCCCAACATCCCCAGCTGCTGGGAGTGCCTGGGGTGGTCGGTCTGCGCCGACCATAGTCAAGGATGTGAACCCTGAAGTGCTCAGGAGCGGTGTTGCCTGCCTGCCTGGTGAGTAGCTGAGCCAGATGTGTCTGGGAAGCATGGTTTGCAGGGAGGGCAGGGAAGATGAAGCCTCTGGTTGCAGTGCTGTGGACTGGTGCCAGTTCCATTCCTTTCACCCTGTACCTCTCCACAAGCAACACTTCTTTAATCTTCTAAAGCTTCTGGATGGGAAGGGTGGGAAGTAGAACTTCCCTCTCACGAGAGTCATGTTAACTTGCTATTAGGAGTCTCGACGTGTTAACCAAGCACGTGTGAGTCAGAAATGCCAAATCTCTGGGCTCACACTGCTAGTTGGAAAAGAAGAGTGAGGATGCAGCTAATGATGGGCTGGTGGGCCTGACATCAGACCTGGTCGAAACAATAGGAACTTGATTCACTTGGTAGATAATCAAAGGATAGGAGTGTAGAAGATGCTATTTGACAGTGCTCTTGTAAAAACAGTTTTATTCTTGGTAATTAAAAGTTTGGTTGATAAAATGTAGCTGCCTAGATATAATAGATTTTTAGAAAACACTTGATTTCATGACACATAGTGTTGAAAATAATATCCTGATGAAGTGTGGACAAGCAACGTGTGGGATGAACGACAGCATAGCTAAATAGCAGATGACAAAACTATCAAGGGAGGACTTCCCAGAATTGTTCTGCCAAGATCAGTTGCAAGTCAAACATTATTCAGTGTTTGCATCTGATATGGCAGCAAGTATCAAATTGCTGCAGATAAAATGTCTGGATGGGACAAATATTGGCAGAGCGGTAAACAAAGCTGAGGCCATTGGACAGAGCAGCCAGGACTGCTTGGCGTGCAGGGCCCACACAGAGGCCCAGAGGTGGTTTACACCACACATGGAGTAAAGTGGAGGGAGTGAGACTTACCTCTCGAGTGCGAAACAGCCATTTGGCAGCGTCTGCGTAAGCAGCCCCTGCGGGCTTGCTTCCTTCCACAGCCAGTGAGAGGCTTGTCTAACGTGGGGCAGGAAGATAGTGGCGTTCGATCGGCTCAGGAGCTGTGTATGAGTTGAAAGTTGGCCAGAGAGCAGAGAAGGGTCAGGAGGACCTGCGCAGTGTGAAGCAGTTGGGAAGGAGAGCAGAAATGCAGCATGGTGATTTCCCTCTCAGAGCTGGAACTGCAAGACCTCAGATGTGTAAAGGAGAAGGGATGACTAGCAGATTAAGACCTCTGTACTTGTTGGTGATGACTCTGGGATAGTTTGGGCTGCTGTGATGCCTTTTTTATAAAAGGAAGTGGCGAATATTGGAGGTGGTGCAGAGAAGGGTGACAGCCCTTTCTTGTAACTGACTTGAATGTCTTATGGCAAGAGACTTGAAAGCTTGTTTGTCTTGCAAGATAATTGAGAATGAGGTGGAAACACCTTTGTGCAGGGAAGGAGGAAAGGGAAATAAGACTTTTCCAGTCTTCTAGAAAAAGGTGAAATTAGAAACCAAATGCAGGGCAGAGTTATGGTACATTCAGACATGTAAATTTGCATTGGGAGGTAAATTGTTAGAACAGATTCCAAAGGAGGATTTCTAATTTTCTGGTCTTCTGATCAGGTTGGACATTTTTATGCTGTGTATCACAGCCAAATAATTACAGGGTTCAAGAAGGGGGGGTGTTTAAGGGAAGCTCGTAGTCCATGCTGTTGCAGAAGCAGGACTATCTGATCTAATGCTCTAGCTGATTCCTTTGTGACAGATTCCTGTCACAATGTACAAATGCATAATGTACAGGTGCATTAGAATATGGGATGAAGGGGTGCTCCCTTGAAATGCATTGAAGAAATGAGGTTTGGGTTTGATACCACTTCCAAGGGAGTTTTCGTCTAAGGAGAAATCACGTTTTCTGTAGGAGCAGTATTGGATTTGACTGAGATTTCTTCTCTCGTGTGTCTCCTTTTGGGTGTCAGTGGGCAATCCTGACACCTGAGCGCATGCATCAGCACTCAGTTAAATGCTTTTTGTCAGACATTGGTAATAATATAATAATTACATTAGGAAGGATTACTTTTATAACGAATAAGAGCTAATTAATAAACTCGTAGCTGATGGAGTTAGGAAGAAATTTTCCTTTCAGGAAAGTTTCATTCCTGCGTTCTGCTCTTGAATCAGTTGGTTATGCCTCTGTTGGAGACCTGGTGGCTGTGGTTGCTTTTTCATAGAATGATAGAGTCATTAAGGTTGGAAAAGACTTCAAGGATCATCAAGTCCAACCCAACACCACCTAACTCACTAAATCATGTCCCTAAGCACCACATCTACATGTTTCTTGAGCCCCTCCAGAGATGGTGACTCCACCACTTCCCTGGGCAGCCTGTTCCAATGCCTGATCACTCTTTCAGGGAAGAAATTTTTCCTAATATCCAGCCTAAACCTCCCCTGATGCAACTTGATGCCATTTCCTCTTGTCACTTGTTGCTTTAGAGAAGAGCCCAG